GAGTGCCGTGCAAATACACCTTGAGTGCCGTGCATGGCACTAGTGCAGTAGGTTGCCTACCCCTGATCTAGTCCCTGGTGTAATGCAGTGATCACTAGACATTGTGCGATCGTGGCACTATCTAGTCTATGATATATAATGCAGTGATCACTAGACATTGTGCGATATATCACTAGATATAAATCACTATCTAGTCCTTTTTCCTTATAAATTATTAAGAAACACACCAAGACCCACTAATTAGAATACTTATATATTCTGTTGCTTCTTGGATGTGTCAATTTAAGCTTTGGGAACCTCTTTGCTAAATTTCTATTAGGACAACTGCCTCAACTTATGGTCCAAATAGCAGTTTTACTGCCTGTTCTTTTGCCATGTTTCACTCTCTAACTATTGACCTGAGTAGTTACCAGATTCTTTTCCTGATACATAGTGCGGGTTACAGGCAATAATAGAGCATCTGCACATTTTGTTTGTACTGCCATAGAATATTTTATTTTCACAAGTTAACTCTTTTAGCTTTCTGCAGACAATAGCATAGAAGAGAAGCAGAGTATCAATTATATTGGTGGCTTTTCACAAAATGGTTATTTGTGGAGAATTGCTAAGGGAATTTGGAATTCATGGGCAAATTGTTTCCCGCCAGCCCATCTACCTCTAACCTGGAACTGAGCACCTCCATCTACCTCTAACCTGGAACTGAGCACCTCCATCTACCTCTAACGTGGAACTGAGCGCCTCCACCCACCTCTAACATGGAACTGGGCGCCTCCACCCACCTCTAACATGGAACTGGGCGCCTCCATCTACCTCTAACCTGGAACTGGGCACCTCCATCTACCTCTAACGTGGAACTGAGCGCCTCCATCTACCTCTAACGTGGAACTGGGCACCTCCATCTACCTCTAACGTGGAACTGAGCGCCTCCACCCACCTCTAACCTGGAACTGGGCGCTTCCCTCTACCTCTAACGTGGAACTGGGCACCTCCATCTACCTCTAACGTGGAATTGAGCGCCTCCATCTACCTCTAATGTAGAACTGGGCACCTACATCTACCTCTAATGTGGAACTGAGCGCCTCCACCCACCTCTAACATGGAACTGGGCGCTTCCCTCTACCTCTAACGTGGAACTGGGCACCTCCATCTACCTCTAACGTGGAATTGAGCGCCTCCATCTACCTCTAACGTGGAACTGGGCACCTCCATCTACCTCTAACGTGGAATTGAGCGCCTCCATCTACCTCTAACGTGGAATTGAGCGCCTCCATCTACCTCTAACGTGGAACTGAGCGCCTCCATCTACCTCTAACGTGGAACTGAGCGCCTCCATCTACCTCTAACGTGGAACTGAGCGCCTCCATCTACCTCTAACGTGGAACTGGGCGCCTCCACCTCAGTTCACTGTCAATCATTGTTAGAAGCTCTGTCCTAGAGAAAGGAGGAGAAACAAAACAAAAAGAGATGTATGAAAGTGTTGCTTTTTCTCCAATTGTTTAACTAGACTTTTTTCCCCAGTGCAACAAATTTATGATTTTTACGCCACTTTTTATGACAGAAAAGTGTTGTGCTTCACTTCTCTTTTTCCTGCCACTGTCACTTGGTGGTCTTTTGAAATGGAAAGGTCTGTGAAAACTGGTGAGATATTCCATAACCGTCATTTTTTATAACTTTAATAAATATGATCAAAATAAAGGCAGTATTTAACTGTCACTTTTCAGAACACCTTCATAAATCCCCCAATATTTTCATTTTTCCTCGTCCGGTAAATCTGTTTGCTTTGTCTGTGCCAGGAATGAACTGGATTGCGATTTCACTTGCTAAATCTTTACTATACATTTAAACAAAAATGTAGCAACACGTAAAAATGGTTCCCAGAAGTTATGGATGCTTTTCATTGTTTTATTCATTTTTGTCAGAGAAGTGATAATAAAAGAGTTTTTGGAAACAGAGTATCCACAGATTGCGCTGTTACACAATGAAGCGTCCACGGATACATTTGAAGTGAAATGGATTCTGAAATGTGAGCAGATTGTTGGTTCTTGTCTTCAGAGAGCTACAGAGTCAGTCTGTGAATTATTTGTGAAATCACCTGCAATTCCATAGATTAAAGGAACACAGTGTGCAAAAAGTACACGGTCAATGCATCTATTTAGATTTTATTTTTTTTTCCATTGCAATTAGACATCCCTTTATTCCAGCCTTGAGACAGACTCCTCACAGCAGCACAGTTCTCCTACTGTGAAGCTCATTGAGAAGCTATTGCTGAAGTCCACCAATCCAATGTTTTTCTAAAACCTATATTTAGTCCATGGCTTCTCAGTGAGAAACACTGGAGGTATAGCCAGCGTTTGCTGTCTATACACTTTGCATGCGGACACCAGGCCGGCCTGGACCCAGAATGATGTTCATGGCATCCGGTATACTAGGAGTTGTACAGTCGCCTGTAGTGGGTGGAGATGTGTGTGTCGCAGCCCCTGCATGTGTTATACATGTCCTCCTATTTATTCGTTTTAGTATTTGTATAGCTATAACATATTCTGCAGCGCTTTGCAGTTATAGGAAGAGGATATCTGGCAACAAGTAAATGACACGTCAACGGCATATCGTCAAAAATAGAGAAGAAAACATTTATAATTAACTTTTCACCTACAGAAATTCTAGTAATTAGGCTAACATAATTTATTGACATTTCCTTGAAAGTGATAATGGCCATGCTGGGACATAAAAATAGACTGCATTGCTCTAGCTCAGCATTTCCCAATTGGGGTTCCGCCAAAAAATTTGAAAACAAAATGGGCGCGGGTGGCAAAGGAGCAGTGAGCAGTGATCTCCCTGCTCAGCTCCCTCCCACAGCAGTGATGCCAGATCCGGAATATGACGTCACTCCGGCTCCGGCATCACTAAGAGGCGCACGAGGATCACTGCTCCCTCGCCGCCCGCACGCCAGCCACCCAGCAGCCCCACTGTACCCCAGGGACTCCATGGAGTAAAATGGGTGGAGTAAAATGTTAAAAATAAATAAATTGTTTGTGTGTCTGTTAGGGAGTTTGTGTGTGTTTGTTAGTGAGAATGTATCTGTTGTTGTACTGTGTCTGCATTTTAATCTTTACTCTGACATTTCTGGTTTCCAGCATGCCCCTGCACAGGATGCACTTACACAGCAGGCCAGTAGGAATCTAGATGATAAAATAAACACAGGACCATAGGTTTTCATGGCAAATAAAAGCCATCTGGGCTGCCAAGCCTGTATGTATGTGTATATATATATAAATATATCTCTATATATATACACACAATACACAAGATCCAGCGCACTCACCTATCCACTAAACAGCAACTTCAATGTTGACAGATTTTAATCTAGGCAAAAATAATGGGGGTTTAGTTACATTATATAATCATACATTGCATAAGCCTGCCACAACGTCAATGTACCCCATCTTTGGCAGGTCCTACACCAACAGCCTAATGTCTGCTCTGATGAGATTAACCCACGTACTTGGGGAAAAATTTCCATCTGGGGCTCGCTGCACCATAAGGCTAAAAAAAGGCCCTGGGATGAGGCACCTGTGTATATATATAGAGAGAGAGAGAGAAAGAGAGCGTTCTCACCTAGATGTGTTAAATGCTGAGAACAACATTTTTAAAAAAATTGTTCCACAATTATATACGGCTGATTTAAGCTCAGTGGATTAAAGGAACACTTTAGCATTAGGAATTTAAACCTGTATTCCTAACACTATAATGTCCCAGCGCCCCGATTAGCTATACCCCACCTCCCCCCACCTTCCTGTTAGATTTTTACTTACCTTTACTGTAGTGTCAAAACTTCCTCCCGTGACGTCATCCGGATCTCTCTGTGATGGCCAATCAAATGCATTGGGGACTGATGTGCATCCAAATGCTTCTCATAGGCAAAGCATGGAATTCATTATTATCTATGAGCTGCATTGATCACATGACTAAGTGTTACTGTGTTGTTCCTGCAGCAGTGCCTCTAGTGGCTGTCTATAGATGTGTTAAACCTTGTTATAAACGTACACTGCAGGGTTAAAACTACATGGTCGCTGCATCATCTCAATGAAGTGGGCTGCATGCCTTTAGTGGTCCTTTACTTTAATTCAAACTTTTTAAAATAGGACTGTCACTTTCTAAATTTTGAATAATATGTTTAATTAATCAGGTATTTAACAAATGTGTATTTGTGAGGCGCAAAAGATCAATGAAGAAGTCCACATTCGTTATCTTGTGACTGGGTGTCTCCATCTTAGCTCCCTGTCAATCATTGTTATAAGCTCCGCCCTTTACACCTGGCAGTCAGTATAGAGAGAGCCGCCTCCATCTTAGCTCCCTGTCAATCATTGTTATAAGCTCCGCCCTTTACACCTGGCAGTCAGTATAGAGAGAGCCACCTCCATCTTAGTTCCCTGTCAATCATTGTTATAAGCTCCGCCCTTTAAACCTGGCAGTCAGTATAGAGAGAATGTACATTGAGGAGGAGACATGAAACAATGTTTCTGTTTCTCCTCTTCATTTGCATTGTGTGCCCTGGCTGTGCCTGGTCTGAACTTGATTATGTAATTTGCTAAATGTTTAATATAAATTTAACTGAAAAGAGAGCTTGTCATATAAAAAGGTTAAGACAAGTTACAGGTGATTTTAATACTTTATTCAATGATGTAGATTCCACACCAGCCACGGTTCCCCATTATGCATCAGGTCACATTCCTGATAAAAAGGTTTTCTCTCATTTTGTTGTTTTTCTGTTCTTTTACAGTAATTAAATGTTGTACTATAATAATTGCATTTATTTATTGCTGGGATTATTTGAATTTCTAGCAATGTATCCCAATTTTGACATTTGCAGATGTAATGAAAAAATGAGATGTTTTCAGATTTTAAATAGTTTTCTTTATTTAAACTGTACACAGTAAGAAAAAATGCTTTTGACTGCTTTTTTTTAACAGAAAAAACGAAATGTTTGGTTTTAAATTATTATTATTATTATTATTATTATTATTATTATTATGTAACAGAATCTAACATGAACATTTATTAAATAAAAATATACATTGACTTTAGGAATGTTCATACTTGATGCTACAATTATCATTGTTGGTTGGAAAGACAATAAAAGCATAGTCGATACATTGGTTGCCTGCAGAAAGCCATAGGCCCAAAATAGAAGCGGCTCAAATTACCGGCATCCAAGTTGGCACTCTGCTTTGGGCAACAACTCCCATAGTTCTAAGCCAGAAAGTGGTTGGGATGGAATTATGGGAGATGTAGTCCAAAAACACACAGAAGCCTATGTTATGACACCTCCCTGATCTACACTGTAACTGAGCTTCAAAGCTTAAGAAATACTTCTAATAAATTGGCCTCTTTGGTTCCATAAAAGATGTATTAACACATTGTACTTTTATTCTCGTATTTGCGATAAAAGTATCAACTTTCTTTTCTTTTACAAATGGCAGTTTGAACTAATAATGCATCTATCAGTGCAAAACATCCTAAGCAATCCTTCGCTTAAGAAAAAACAAACAAATAAAAAAGCAAACAAATGTATTTTCAAGTATAAAAAATATATATTAGGGAAAAAACTGTTCCGCTGGTTGTGTGTCTTATATGCCAGAGTATAAGATGTTACTGGAATGCTTTGCTCTGAGAAACATAGCTTGCATCAAACAGGAGAAATGTCTGCCCATTATCGCGTGAAATCACGGTCCAAGGGTATCACCTCAGCTAAAAGGAGCCCTCATTCACTAACAGAGTGCATCATGGGAAGTCAACAGCTGTTTGACCAAAAATAGCAGAATGGGAAAAATTCTCAGACTTGAGTATTTTTCTAATTTTGCCATTTTGGGCTGAATCTTGTTATTTTGTCAATTCACCACAATTCGTTGTTTAACAGCTAAAAGGTTGGCGATCACACAAATCAGCGGTGCTACCCTAAATTGGTCAGCCATTTATAGGCCTCAGCATCTGCAAATTGAAAAATACGTAATTTTTCCAGACAATGAACTTTCCTTCTAAAATATTTTAGCTTTACACGCTCCCTGGCTTCAATGTAGCAAGCGACTGCCTGAGAGTGTGCGATAGGAATCATTCAGTCTCACGGCTCACTTCTCCTGTATGCTGAGAATCTTCCTTCAGTTAAGCCCTGCTGGCAGATGCCACACTGTTAGCCGGGGTAGGTTTCTCAAGCTGTCCCAAGGAGCTGAGCCTGCTGCGTTAACACTTTGTGCGTCTGCGAGGTGTGCCATGCGCTGCACTACTTTATGCTATTTAAAGAGTTTAACTCTTTCACTGCTGTAAGTGGCCCCTGCAGCAGGGTAGGAGCTATGTGAATATTTAGTGAAATTAAGTGCACTGTCAAGTATCACTTTTCAAGGCAGTAAGAGGTGCAAATGCTGTGAAGTGAGAACCTAGCATTTGCAAGTGCTATGCTGAGTGTTATCAGACTTGGGAGAGAAGATATGGGATCCTCTCCCCCGTCCATCATCGAGATCCTTCCCTTGTTGCTATCCATGTTTTATTCCCTTGAGTGCAAAACAATGTTTTGCTTGACCCATCGGCAAAAGAAAACAACAAACAATACATGTTACATAACAATAGACATCTACATTCGTTCGGTGACTCGTCTTTTGTACAGGTCTCAGTGATGCTCACTTTTCAGACACTGCTGTCTTATTGTACCACAGTTACTGAAGTCCGTACAGTAGAAAATATGCATGTTGCCCTTTTTTTGAGAAGACAACTGGTGCTATGGCTTCATGTTTGTGTTGGACACAACATGTAGAAAGTCTATCATAGTTTGTGATGTCTCTATGACGAGACGACAGGCATGATACGGGCTTGTAGCCCTCCGTACCATAGAGAGTTTGTGAAGCCCAGCCTTGGAGGCATATGGCCTTTCATTAATCAAAGTAGACATTCCTCATTGGAAGTGCTGTAAGAATATTATAAGGTAAACTGGTGGAAGATATCGTCAAATGTGAACGTTGCTTGGCCATGTATGACCACTATTAAGGAACAAGTTAACTTTTCATTCCACAAATTATTATCCTAGCCCAGATGGAAACCTCTTTGCTCTTTTCATTCATGGTTCGGCACTTGCTGGCATTAAAATGACCCTCAGTATATTGCCCTGTGTGGCCTTGGCTACTTACAGTCTTGTAAGTTATGTCTTAAAAATGTATGCCGGAATGATATGAGATCCACAGACTGCCACTGATCTCACAAAATGATCCCTCCCCATAACATCACAGTGGCGTGATATCCCTCCAGGAGGAAGCAAAGTGTATATGGGAATTGTCCTGATATTCCTATCATGCACATCCGCATTCTTCTACTATCATGTTCGGAACGTCCCTCTTGACAATGTTGTATTCATCGTCAAAATATAGCATAGACATTGTACTTAGCTTTGTAGGAATACAGCAGGAGTTCACTGTCCCAGGGTTCAAGCCTCTCATTCTGTACTGATTCACCACCGCTGTGTGAAAGGATGAGGCCGAACCTGGAACTCCTGCCAAGTAAGCTGGACAGCTGCCCTCACAGTAATTCCCATAGTATCCTGATGGAGCTATGATCCAATCGTTCCAGCCAATAAGTCGAAAGTCAATGTAAAATTGTTGCCTACAACATAAATTTGTCCGCCCATCGCATTCAAGGCCTCTTTTACGAATCCGGTGCTTGTTGTCAGCTAATCGGGCATGTACCACAAGAAAGGGTCGGTGGGATTCTTCTCCTGGGTCCACGTATACTGGAATAACCGAATGCTCTTCGCAGCCATCACATTGCACCTCAAGGTTTAACCTTCGCTCCCCCTTCTCGAAAAGTGCTTGTATAGTATCTGTCAAGGGGAACGTGTGCCAGCCACTTCTTCTGGTGTCAACCTTTTTCTCCACCATGTTCGTTTTACCTGGGAATGCTGGGTCTTCAAAGTGCACTTTAATCCGGACCTTGCGTCTGCCACTTTTCTCCATAATCTCCGGGAGTTTCAAATAAAGCCACAAATTAGACTGAAACACAAAAAGATTCTGGTTCCCCTCATTTGAGATTGTGAAGGCAAGCCGTACCTTCGAAGCCGTAAGATCATCTAAAGAAGCGAAAATGAAATAATGTTAAACATTCCACTTTGGCAAGAATTAATTAAAATATATACTTAATCCATTCGAAAACCATTACGTCGGGAATGTGAGATTTGTGTTTAAAGGCTGCTGACAGATCAGAGATTAAACTAGCTTACTAATAAGAGCACGCTTGTTTTTCTATGTCACTAAGCAAAACACTGCAGAGCGTAAACACTACCTCTGATAGCTAGTTCTATGTTATAGTAAAATGCAGTATCCATTATGTCAGCCCATAAGAATGGAGCCACAAAACTGTCTGTAGGAAACCAACTGTTATACAGACAAAGTTAATGTCATTTTGAGATTTTAAAGATAAAAAGGGACAGTAGGGTGTATATGAGCTCTAAATCACCTATTTAATTGTGGGCTGAGTACACCTGTTAGCGCTATATAAATAAAATATACATACACTGTATACCTACTGCACTTACTGCACCTCCCTCTACTGTAATGTAACCTGTAAAGTGCTGAGTATACCTGTTAGCGCTATATAAATAAAATATACATACACTGTATACCTACTGCACTTCCTGTACCTCCTTCTACTGTAATGTAACCTGTAAAGTGCTGAGTACACCTGTTAGCGCTATATAGATATAATATACATACACTGTATACCTACTGCACTTCCTGTACCTCCCTCTACTGTAATGTAACCTGTAAAGTGCTGAGTACACCTGTTAGTGCTATATAAATAAAATATACATACACTGTATATCTACTGCACTTACTGTACCTCCCTCTACTGTAATGTAACCTGTAAAGTACTGAGTACACCTGTTAGCGCCATATAAATAAAATATACATACACTGTATACCTACTGCACTTACTGTACCTCCCTCTACTGTAATGTAACCTGTAAAGTGCTGAGTACAGCTGTTAGCGCTATATAAATAAAATATGCATACACTGTATACCTACTGCACTTACTGTACCTCCCTCTACTGTAATGTAAGCTGTAAAGTACTGAGTACACCTGTTAGCGCTATATAAATAAAATATACATACACTGTATACCTACTGCACTTACTGTACCTCCCTCTACTGTAATGTAACCTGTAAAGTGCTGAGTACACCTGTTAGCGCTATATAAATAAATATACATACACTGTATACCTACTGCACTTACTGTACCTCCCTCTACTGTAATGTAACCTGTAAAGTGCTGAGTACACCTGTTAGCGCTATATAAATAAAATATGCATACACTGTATACCTACTGCACTTACTGTACCTCCCTCTACTGTAATGTAACCTGTAAAGTGCTGAGTACACCTGTTAGCGCTATATAAATAAAATATACATACACTGTATACCTACTGCACTTACTGTACCTCCCTCTACTGTAATGTAACCTGTAAAGTGCTGAGTACACCTGTTAGCGCTATATAAATAAAATATACATACACTGTATACCTACTGCACTTACTGTACCTCCCTCTACTGTAATGTAACCTGTAAAGTGCTGAGTACACCTGTTAGCGCTATATAAATAAAATATGCATACACTGTATACCTACTGCACTTACTGTACCTCCCTCTACTGTAATGTAACCTGTAAAGTGCTGAGTACACCTGTTAGCGCTATATAAATAAAATATACATACACTGTATACCTACTGCACTTACTGTACCTCCCTCTACTGTAATGTAACCTGTAAAGTACTGAGTACACCTGTTAGCGCTATATAAATAAAATATACATACACTGTATACCTACTGCACTTACTGTACCTCCCTCTACTGTAATGTAACCTGTAAAGTGCTGAGTACACCTGTTAGCGCTATATAAATAAAATATACATACACTGTATACCTACTGCACTTACTGTACCTCCCTCTACTGTAATGTAACCTGTAAAGTGCAGAGTACACCTGTTAACGCTATATAAATAAAATATATATACACTGTATACTAACCTTTAACTAGCTTTGAGTCATGCTGATAAAAGTATTGTACTAAGGGAATAAACATTGGTTGGATATAATTCCAGGGTCATGTCCCACTGAACAGATTAACTACCCTTATTTTTCCTGAATCAACTCATACTATGCACTAAAGTCACTGCCCTAACACTGAATTTCCTGAATCAACTAACACAATGCACTAAAAGCACTGTACAACACTAACCCTACACATAAGACACTGCACTAACCCTGTGTCCTGCACAGTAACACAATACACTAACCCATTTGTCCTGCACAATAACAACCTGCACTAACCCTGTGTCCTGCACAGTAACACAATACACTAACCCATTTGTCCTGCACAATAACAAACTGCACTAACCCTGTATCCTGCACAATAACACACTGCACTAACCCTGTATCCTGCACAATAACATACACTGCACTAAACCTGTATCCTGCACAATAACACACTACACTAACCCTGTGTCCTGCACAATAACACACTACACTAACCCTGTATCCTGCACAATAACACACTACACTAACCCTGTGTCCTGCACAATAACACACTACACTAACCCTGTATCCTGCACAATAACACATACTACATTAACCCTGTTTCCTGCACAATAACACACTACACTAACCCTGTATCCTACACAATAATACTCTGCACTAACCCTGTATCCTGCACAATAACACACACTACACTAACCCTGTTTCCTGCACACTAACCCCGTATCCTGCACAATAACACACACTACACTAACCCTGTTTCCTGCACAATAACACACTACACTAACCCTGTATCCTGCACAATAATACACTACACTAACCCTGTGTCCTGCACAATAACACACTACACTAACCCTGTATCCTGCACAATAACACATACTACACTAACCCTGTAACCTGCACAATAACACACACTAACCCTGTATCCTGCACAATAATACACTACACTAACCCTGTGTCCTGCACAATAACACACTACACTAACCCTGTATCCTGCACAATAACACATACTACACTAACCCTGTATCCTGCACAATAACACACACTACACTAACCCTGTATCCTGCACAATAACACGCTACACTAACCCTGTATCCTGCACAATAACATACACTACACTAACCCTGTTTCCTGCACAATAAAACACTGCACTAACCCTGTATCCTGCACAATAACCTACACTAACCCTGTGTCCTGCACAATAACACACTACACTAACCCTGTATCCTGCACAATAACACACACTAACCCCGTATCCTGCACAATAACATACACTACACTAACCCTGTTTCCTGCACAATAACACACTACACTGACCCTGTATCCTGCACAATAATACACTACACTAACCCTGTTTCCTGCACAATAACACACTACACTAACCCTGTATCCTGCACAATAACACACTACACTAACCCTGTTTCCTGCACAATAACACACACTAACCCCGTATCCTGCACAATAACACACACTACACTAACCCTGTTTCCTGCACAATAACACACTACACTAACCCTGTGTCCTGCACAATAGCACACTACACTAACCCTGTATCCTGCACAATAATACACTACACTAACCCTGTGTCCTGCACAATAGCACACTACACTAACCCTGTATCCTGCACAATAACACATACTACACTAACCCTGTAACCTGCACAATAACACACACTAACCCTGTATCCTGCACAATAATACACTACACTAACCCTGTGTCCTGCACAATAACACACTACACTAACCCTGTATCCTGCACAATAACACATACTACACTAACCCTGTATCCTGCACAATAACACACTACACTAACCCTGTATCCTGCACAATAATACACTACACTAACCCTGTGTCCTGCACAATAGCACACTACACTAACCCTGTATCCTGCACAATAACACATACTACACTAACCCTGTTTCCTGCACAATAACACACTACACTAACCCTGTATCCTGCACAATAACACACACTAACCCTGTATCCTGCACAATAACACACACTACACTAACCCTGTATCCTGCACAATAACACACTACACTAACCCTGTATCCTGCACAATAACATACACTGCACTAACCCTGTATCCTGCACAATAACCTACACTAACCCTGTTTCCTGCACAATAAAACACTCCACTAACCCTGTATCCTGCACAATAACACACTACACTAATCCTGCACAATAACACACTACACTAACCCTGTATCCTGCACAATAGCACTACACTAACCCTGTATCCTGCACAATAACATACACTACACTAACCCTGTATCCTGCACAATAACATACACTACACTAACTCTGTATCCTGCACAATAACATACACTACACTAACTCTGTATCCTGCACAATAACATACACAACACTAACTCTGTATCCTGCACAATAACATACACAACACTAACCCTGTATCCTGCACAATACACTAACCCTGTATCCTGCACAATAAAACACACTACACAAACCCTGTATCCTGCACAATAACACACTACACTAACCCTGTATCCTGCACAATAACACACACTACAGTAACTCTGTATCCTGCACAATAACACTACACTGACCCTGTATCCTGCACAATAACACACAACACTAACCCTGTATCCTGCACAATAACACATAATACACTAACCATGTACCCTGCACAATAGCACACTGCAGTAACCCTGTATCCTGCACAATAACACACACTAACCCTGTATCCTGCACAATAACACACACTACGCTAACCCTGTATCCTGCACAATAAAACACTACACTAACCCTGTATCCTGCACAATAGCACTACACTAACCCTGTATCCTGCACAATAACACACACTACGCTAACCCTGTATCCTGCACAATAAAACACTGCACTAACCCTGTGTCCTGCACAATAACACACTACACTAACCCTGTATCCTGCACAATAACACACTACACTTACCCTGTATCCTGCACAATAACCTACACTAACCCTGCATCCTGCACAATAACACACTGCACTAACCCTGTATCCTGCACAATAACACACTACACTAACCCTGTATCCTGCACAATAACACTAATAACCCTGTATCCTGCACAATAACACACTGCACTAACCCTGTATCCTGCACAATAACACACTACACTAACCCTGTATCCTGCACAATAACACATAATACACACTCTGTATCCTGCACAATAACACACTGCACTAACCCTGTATCCTGCACAATAACACACTACACTAACCCTGTATCCTGCACAATAACACATAATACACTAACCCTGTATCCTGCACAATAACACACTGCACTAACCCTGTATCCTGCACAATAGCACTACACTTGGCCTCTATTTGTGGTCTTAACTACCATCCTAAACATCCTCTGCAATTGGCACCTCAGTTGTAGCTTACTTAAGCATGGCCCTCCCTGCCCCCCAACATGCTGTTCTCTGACCTTACATTCCTAGTGTACCATCCCCTGACTTCATACCTGAGCATGTCATCCTCGGCCCATACACCTTTAGCCAGCCCATACATCTCCAGAATGCCAATACACTCCTGAGTGCTACCCTCTGCCCATACACCCTCAGACTGCCACCCTCTGCCCATACATCCCCAGTGTGCCACCCTCTTCCACTTCTCCCCCCAGTGTGCCACCCTCTGCCCATACACCCCCAGTGTGCCACCCTCTGCCCATACACCCCCAGTGTGCCAATCATTGCCAATACACCCCCATTGTTCCACCCTCTGCCCACACCCCCCCCATTGTGCCACCTTCTGCCCACACACCCCCATTGTGCCACCTTCTGCCCATTTACTCCCATTGTGCCACCCTCTGCCCATACACCCCTAGTATGCCACCCTCTGTCTATACCCTCAGACTGACACCCCCAGTGTACCAGGCACCCACCTGTCTCTGCGAAGCTGATGATCTCGGAGTTCTGTTCCTGCAGGTCGAGGCTGGGCATGGCATGCCCATCCAGATTGGGTATCTCCACCCTGCCATCCTCCCTCACCCTGCCAGCATGCAGCTTCCTCAGGGCTGTAACCATGGCAGCCTTGGGCACCGCGTGGGTGATGTTGGGCCGGTCCCTCATCTGCAGCCGGCTCAGGATGTGCCTCTTCACCGCCTCCAGGATGTCCTGGTCCACCCGGGCCACCTCCTCCGGGGGTCGGAACCCGCAGGACGAGCAGGAGTCCTGGGAACCGGCTGGGGGCTCCGGGGTGGGATTACCGGCAGCACAGAGGAAGCCGGCCAGGAGAAAGGCAGCGACCGAACAATGCATAGTCCTGGACCGCAGAGCTTGCAATCACAGCACGCCCTGTCCTCCCAGCAATGGGCTGAGTGTGAGTGACAGACTGACTCTGAGTGTGAGTGCTGTCTGATCAGCCTGGCACATCCACTTCACTTGGCCCGGACAGCTCTGGATGGCAGGGGCCCCATACTAGAGTTCAAGGGGTACATCCAGTAAACGAAGTCCCTTTGATCACCCACAAAATATCAAAGGAATCCAGAAAAACGGGGCTCCTGCAACAGGTCCAGGCAGACACTGATATAGATCTCTCATACAGGTCCCTGGGGGCCCCTGGAAGAGATCAACGGGGCCCCCTGCTTCTAGAGTTAAATCGTGGGGTATCTAGATTAATGCACTGGAGATCCTTAGCTCCAGAAATAGTTCAGTATTTTTGGGGTCCCAAATTTCAGAATTAGCTCAATCTTTGGGGGTCCCCAAATTCAGAATTAGCTCAGTCGCTGAGTGTCCCAGGATCCAGAATTAGCTCAGTCCTTGTGGGTCCCCAGGTGCAGCATTAGCTCAGACTCTGAGGGTCCTCAGCTCCAGAATCAGTCCAGTTCCTGACAGTCCCCAGCTCAGATGGTCTCCTTAGGCAAGCACAGGGAGGTCTTCTTAGTCCAGCTCTGGGGGTCTCCTTGTTCCAGCTCTGAGGGTCTCCTTGTTCCAGCTCAGGGGGTCTCCTTGCTCCTGCTCAGGGGGTCTCCTTGTTCCAGCTCTGAGGGTCTCCTTGTTCCAGCTCAGGGGGTCTCCTTGCTCCAGCTCTGGGGGTCTCCTTGCTCCAGCTCTGGGGGTCTCCTTGTTCCAGCTCTGGGGGTCTCCCTGCAGTGTGTGTGCACACAGGTTGAGATGTGATCTCCACTGATTGTCTAATTGAGTTTTTGCCCAGCGTTCAGGGCATGGGGCCAGTCCTGTGAAACTTTTATACAGGAGCAAACCACGTGTTAGCTCCGACCTATGACAAGCCTTCACTGCCTCTATTTGGGAGATTAAAGCACTTGCCCCTGGGGTATTATCCTATCTGTCACTGTATGCAGGGGGTCCTGGCGAGGTGTGTATTACAGGGGGAGGATTACTGAAAGCTCTCAGCATCTTTAAAAGCGATGATGGGATTTGCTGTCCCAGTGACAGTGTTTGCTAAAGGACAAAAACAGGGACTTCTAGACTGCACCTGCCTTCATCTCTCCCTGTGCGTGATGGGAGTTGCAGAGCACCACTGGTGTAGTAACATGAAGGGAATCAAGCTGAGCAGTAAATGCACATTTAACAAAAACCATCCATTGCCACTGAATCCAGCCCAGGGAAAGTGTGCTCCCTAGCACCTGGGGGTTAAATATTTTGTCATTACTGTACCTGGCTAATACATTCACTGACATACAGATCAGCTGGAGCATTAACCCTGCAATGACTGGATGTGTGGGGTGAGCAGAGCATTGCTACATGGCACTCACATGGTTAACCTACTCAGCAGATAGAATGTAGCACTGGATGGATTGTGTAACGTTCTGTTTTCAGTCTGTGTGGATACTTAACCCTTAGCTTGCCAGCAGTGTGTTAGGCACATCTCTAGTATTTAGAGTTAAAACTTCATTGGCAGAAAAGTTAATAGGAAAACATGATGCAATGGCAGCACAGTCCAAGCTAATAGAGAGAGTGCATGCAAGCTTGGTACCTTCCTTATTAATCCTCCAGTTTTATTGAGTGAATATTTGAGAAGCTGGCATAATAAGGGTTACACTTTGCTCCACTACCCTCAGGGCTCTAACTGCACCAATGTCTTCACAAGTAGTTGTATCAGTATGAGGTTACAAGAGGAGAAGGCTAAAAATGTACATTTCTACTATGGTGGCACTTAATATGGTCCATAAACGGTGTAACAAACCAATACCCATTGTGCCCATGCCGCACACGCAGAGTGGCACAAACATAGCAATCCCCATCCCATCAGAGAAGCTATTGCTTGGAGCTCTCTAGTTATTGCAGGCCCACCTTACTGATCTCTAACTTTCTTTGTATTTAACTGTTACGAAAGATAGACAAACAATAGGTTATATAACCATAGGAAAACATTTAGCTTTCGGTTACCAAGGGTGTTCTGTGGGCACAATAACTTTTCCCAAGATTCCGTTAAGCAGAGACGCCTAACCTGTATGTCTTTAACGGGGGCCGCAGCTCTGTGTGTGATCTGTATAAATCCACAGAGATAGAAAATATATAGATAACAAGGACTCACTATCATAGGCTGTTAGTATCCTGTGTCCAGCGTCGCCATGCCATAAACACACGCTCTGTACATACGTGCTCAGTAATAGCCGGCCATGCCAAAACAAACACACTCTGTACATACATGCTCAGTAATCGCAGGACATGCCAAAACAAACACACTCTGTACATACATGCTCAGTAATCACAGGACATGCCAAAAAAACCACACTCTGTACATACGTGCTCAGTAATCGCAGGACATGCCAAAACAAACACGCTCTGTACATACATGCTCAGTAATCGCAGGACATGCCAAAACAAACACACTCTGTACATACATGCTCAGTAATCACAGGACATGCCAAAAAAACCACACTCTGTACATACGTGCTCAGTAATCGCAGGACATGCCAAAACAAACACGCTCTGTACATACATGCTCAGTAATCGCAGGACATGCCAAAACAAACACACTCTGTACATACATGCTCAGTAATCACAGGACATGCCAAAAAAACCACACTCTGTACATACGTGCTCAGTAATCGCAGGACATGCCAAAACAAACACGCTCTGTACATACATGCTCAGTAATCGCAGGACATGCCAAAACAAACACACTCTGTACATACGTGCTCAGTAATCGCAGGACATGCCATAAACACACGTTCTGTACATACGTGCTCAGTAATCGCAGGACATGCCATAAACACGCTCTGTACATACGTGCTCAGTAATAGCCGGCCATGCCATAAACACACGCTCTGTACATACATGCTCAGTAATCGCAGGATATGCCATAAACACACGTTCTGTACATACGTGCTCAGTAATCGCAGGACATGTCATAAACACGCTCTGTACATACGTGCTCAGTAATTGCTGGACATGCTATAAACACGCTCTGTACATACGTGCTCAGTAATAGCCGGCCATGCCATAAACACACACTCTGTACATACGTGCTCAGTAATAGCCGGCCATGCCATAAACACACGCTCTGTACATACATGCTCAGTAATAGCTGACCATGCCATAAACACACTCTGTACATACGTGCTCAGTAATAGCTGGCCATGCCATAAACACGCTCTGTACATGCGTGCTCAGTAATTGCAGGACATGCCATAAACACACGCTCTGTACATACATGCTCAGTAATAGCTGACCATGCCATAAACACGCTCTGTACATACGTGCTCAGTAATAGCTGGCCATGCCATAAACACGCTCTGTACATGCATGCTCAGTAATTGCAGGACATGCCACCTTTTATAGGTGGGAGATGTCTGATTCTTTTTAATTATTTATTTTGATACTCATAGTATAGCCTGTTGATTTAGTGACATTCACCCCAATGATAACATTGTGCACCCGATTCCGATTCCTATTTAATTGATTTGGGTACTTGTAATAACATTCAGACAATTAATTTTGTCCCTGGCACTTTGCTGTGTGCATGAATTCCTAATATTGTCACCGTATATTATACGTTAATAATATTGTCACTGGCGATGTATATTATATGTTAATAATATTGTCATTGGCGATGTATATTATACGTTAATAATATTGTCACTGTATATTATACGCTAATAATATTGTCATTGGCGATGTATATTATACGTTAATAATATTGTCACTGGCGATGTATATTATACGTTAATAATATTGTCACTGGCGATGTATATTATACGTTAATAATATTGTCACTGGCGATGTATATTATACGTTAATAATATTGTCATTGGCGATGTATATTATACGTTAATAATATTGTCACTGTATATTATATGTTAATAATATTGTCACTGGCGATGTATATTATATGTTAATATTGTCACTGTATATTATACGCTAATAATATTGTCATTGGCGATGTATATTATACGCTAATAATATTGTCACTGGCGATGTATATTATATGTTAATAATATTGTCACTGCGATGTATATTATACGTTAATAATATTGTCACTGGCGATGTATATTATATGTTAATAATATTGTCACTGGTGATGTATATTATATGTTAATAATATTGTCACTGGTGATGTATATTATATGTTAATATTGTCACTGTATATTATACGCTAATAATATTGTCATTGGCGATGTATATTATACGCTAATAATATTGTCACTGGCGATGTATATTATATGTTAATAATATTGTCACTGCGATGTATATTATATGTTAATAATATTGTCACTGGTGATGTATATTATATGTTAATATTGTCACTGTATATTATACGCTAATAATATTGTCATTGGCGATGTATATTATACGCTAATAATATTGTCACTGGCGATGTATATTATATGTTAATAATATTGTCACTGGCGATGTATATTATATGTTAATATTGTCACTGTATATTATACGCTAATAATATTGTCATTGACAATGTATTTCATGGGTTTGTGTATTGTTGTTTTTTGTTACAGCATTTTCATTTTATGTTTTTATTATAATCGTAATTATAGATTTAATCTCCCAACCTCGCACACAGAACCAGAGCTCAGCGCTAGGAAACAGCGCCACCTATCTTCAACTAGTGGGATACAGAGGAGAACTAGCACATCGTATTGCTAATATTACTGTAGAATAAGCTGGGTGATGTGAGTTGTAGTTTCCCAATGGGTATTCTGACACAATAGGTGTAAAGGCCTCTTTCAGCGTGACATTGAATTAAAGTCAGACCTCTAATCATTGAATCAAATGGGCACTACCAGTTCTCTGTAATTTACACTAGTGAATAAAACATTGAAAATCACCTTTTTTTTAATTAGACACTTTTCTTTTTTACATTTTTATTAAAGATTTAGTAGCAGCCAGTGCAAATATTGCAAATAAAGAGGACAGATAGATACATTGTTACATGTCTTCTCCTCTCTGTATGCTCTCTCTCTATACTGACAGCCAGGTGTAAAGGGCGGAGCTTATAACAATGATTGACAGGGAGCTAAGATGGAGGTGGCTCTCTCTATACTGACTGCCAGGTGTAAAGGGCGGAGCTTATAACAATGACTGACAGGGAGCTAAGATGGAGGCGGCTCTCTCTATACTGACTGCCAGGTGTAAAGGGCGGAGCTTATAACAATGATTGACAGGGAGCTAAGATGGAGGCGGCTCTCTCTATACTGACTGCCAGGTGTAATGGGCGGAGCTTATAACAATGATTGACAGGGAGCTAAGATGGAGGTGGCTCTCTCTATACTGACTGCCAGGTGTAAAGGGCGGAGCTTATAACAATGACTGACAGGGAGCTATGATGGAGGTGGCTCTCTCTATACTGACTGCCAGGTGTAAAGGGCGGAGCTTATAACAATGATTGACAGGGAGCTAAGATGGAGGTGGCTCTCTCTATACTGACTGCCAGGTGTAATGGGTGGAGCTTATAACAATGATTGACAGGGAGCTAAGATGGAGGTGGCTCTCTCTATACTGACTGTCAGGTGTAATGGGCGGAGCTTATAACAATGATTGACAGGGAGCTAAGATGGAGGTGGCTCTCTCTATACTGACTGCCAGGTGTAAAGGGTGGAGCTTATAACAATGACTGACAGGGAGCTAAGATGGAGGCGGCTTTCTCTATACTGACTGCCAGGTGTAAAGGGCGGAGCTTATAACAATGATTGACAGGGAGCTAAGATGTAGGTGGCTCTCTCTATGCTGACTGCCAGGTGTAAACGGCGGAGCTTATAACAATGATTGACAGGAAGCTAAGATGGAGGTGGCTCTCTCTATACTGACTGCCAGGTGTAAAGGGTGGAGCTTATAACAATGATTGACAGGGAGCTAAGATGGAGGTGGCTCTCTCTATGCTGACTGCCAGGTGTAAAGGGTGGAGCTTATAACAATGATTGACAGGGAGCTAAGATGGAGGCGGCTCTCTCTATACTGACTGCCAGGTGTAAAGGGCGGAGCTTATAACAATGACTGACAGGGAGCTAAGATGGAGGCGGCTCTCTCTATACTGACTGCCAGGTGTAAAGGGCGGAGCATATA